ATTTCGAATAATTTCCTTACTTTTTCTCATAAATAATTATTTTAAAAAAACTACTCAGTGAACTAATTGTATTTAATCAAGAACCAAACATTTGGCAACATATAAATCAAGTCGTGGAAAGTGAAATCGTGTTGAATTTGGTAAACTGAACTCATGGCAAAGGAAGATTGGCTATTAATCTCTTTATTTTGGTGGTTATGTCTCCTTCTAATTTTTTTGCTTTATTTTTGAAGTTGATTTCATGGGGACTACAGATCCAAAATCATTCTGTGCACCTGCATTATATAATCAGGGCCCCATCACTTTAGAAATTCAGAGTATCATCAAACTGTTTGCATGCCCTTTAGTTTTATTATGTAATCAATAATGTGTAGGGACATGCATGCTTTTTGTTTACGTAGATTAATCATTTTTTATTTTCAAGTAAAAAAAAAACATTTTCACATTTGTTACAAAAGAAAGAAAAAGACTTGGGCTTCTTTGCCTTTCGACTTGCATGCTTGAGGTTGGTTAGTTTAAAGTAGAGATTTGATGTCTATATTGGACTGACTTAGGGTTCCAATAAAAAAATCGATTTATTAAAAGTTTGTTTTTTCATTTAAAATTGTAAAAAATATTTTAAAGTCCAGTGAATTAAATTTAAGATAAAATCATTTAAGTGAATAAATTTAGTTTAGAATATAATTTAAAATTTTGAATTTTAATAGCGTCGATTTTTTATTAAAAAAAGCACCTTTTTTTTTTTAAATATTTTGAGGGGTGGTGGAGCGGGGTATTAATAAAGCTATAAACTTTGAGGAGTTCAAACTTGTAAAGTAGTGGAATGTTCGAAAGAGAAATCATACGAGTAAAGTTTGAGAGAGAAAAAAAACTGGATGATGCGAGATTTAGATACAAGTTATATATCAACCTTCTCTTTTAATTTCCGCCATGGAAAAAAAACACCGGGACATGACTTGCTACGGAAATTGAGCGGGAAATATTTTTACTTCGTTTTGGTACTTAAATTTTATTTTTTCTAAAATTATTAATGATAATATTGATGTAGCATGACATGTCAATTCTTTTTAATTTTCATATCATCTTTCGATGTTTCGCCAACTATGGAGATAAAAAAAATGTTCTTGTTGAAAATGTGGCCCAATATCGATACTACACAACCTGAGTATCGATACTATTGGACAATATTAATACCCTCAATTGAAAATTCCTAATTTTCGTCCTAATTCATCTAGTATCGATATTGTTCATCCATTATCGATACTCAAACCTAGAAATGTCTTATTTAAGCTTGAGAAACACAAAAAAAAATCATCTCAAATATCTTAGTTTGGTTCCTAACCACGTGTTAAAGCTTTGGGAAGTTACTAAGGATCTTAAAGAGTCATAAAAACACATGATTTACATCAAATTTGTCATCTATGGCATGAGTCAAGTATGAAACCCTTGAGATACTCAAACGATGTTGTTGTTGGACTTCTTCGAGAAGAGAAGTCAAGGATTGACTTCTCTTCGATTTTAAAATAAATAAATAAATCCTTCACTTCCTAGAGGTCATATTCTGATATTTTAAAATAAATAAATACCCTACTTAGATTTTTTTTAATATGAATACTTTAGTTATATTTATTTTGGTTATATCAAATTATTTTAATATTGAGTTCTTGGGGAAATTATCATATTCTTATTATTTCAGTTGAAAAGAGAAATATTCATCCTAAAGTATTTTAGGGATTATTTTCTTTTCGATTGGAAATATTAAAATATTTTCTATTTCTCTTTAGAATTTTTTGTTACATAAAATTATGCGATTGAATTTGAGAATAATAAGATCGTAAATTAAATTTATATTCAAATTTTTAGATTTCCACTACTAGAGACAATTTATAATCGACGGGGTACCAATTTTGGGCATTGTGGGGTGCTAATCATTCCCCTCGTGGCATTGACCCCAAATCCCTTTTTATTGCTAAAAAAATGAATTTCTGGTTATACGTAGACTAGTTTATCTTTTAAATAATGTTTTCTTAAAAACTCTTTTAAAATGTGATTTTTAGGTGTTCGATTTACCTAACCCAAAAGGTCGACGACGACTCCATTCTTTTCATTAAAAACCATTTATTTATTTGTTTTTTCCCCAAGAAATATCGTACGGGCGAAAATCCATTATGAAAGGTGGGATTATGATCAAAATTGAAGTATGAAATATGCCCAAAAACTTAACTTTGAGTTGTGGTACTTGGGAGGAAGAATGAAGAAGAAATGGTGGAGAAAGGAATATAGATAAATGAAGAGAATGAAAGGAAAAAAATGAAATGAGAGATATAAAAGCTCCAATCTTTTAAAAAGTTTAAATTGCACAATTGATCCTTCTTCAACTTTCTACTATTTAAAAAATCTCCTTTCTATGGTTAAGTGTGCACAATTCCAACCCGTTAAGCACACGAACTTAATTTATGAAATTCACGGGATCCACATGCCTCTCGGTAAACCCAAAATTACTAGCTCAAAATTTAGGGTGTTACAATCACACTATAGTTGAGTGACTAGGCTTTCAATAATTAATTTAAAGTGTCACATATTTAACTCTTATAATCATAAAAAATATTGATTTTGTGCCGTGATATAAGTTAAATACAAAATGTGATGAATATTAACTAAATGACTAGCTTAACTCAATAGTTGAGTGATTTGTTTCTCATGTAAGAGACTTAAGTTCAATTCATATTAAAAGCAAGAGTGATTTCTAATTTTTTATCCCTATAAGTGGTGACACCGTTGTGACACATGTCACCACCTAATTTAGACACTAAAATAAAACAAAACAAAAGTGATAATTTATGTACAAAACATGTAATTTACTCTCTTAATAGTTACTTAATAAAAACAATTTAGTTAATGGTGTGTTTCGGTACATCGCTTTAGTGGTATGTTGCGGTATACTACATATGCCGTAGAATTTTCCTTTAAACTAAGAGTTAAACCAAACAAATTTTATCTCCAATTATTATGGTTTTCCTTTGTATAGTTTGTACATGTTTGAAAATTAGTCTAAATAATTATATTTACATATATTTGTTTATAATTATACATGTATCATATGTTTAAATATCATGTGTAATTTTCTAAAAAAACATGTGTAATTAGTAGTTTTCACTATATTATGTATAATTAAAGTATTTCAATTAGTTATTATAATTTGAAAATATTTTTTATTCAATTTTATGTAGTGGATTTCACTTTGTCACTAAAAAATACATGAGAAATTGTCAACAATTTGACTATTCACCTGTTTATTTAAAATTCAAATTATATTTTTTCTCTTACTATAGAACATACATAAAGAAAACTATAATTATTTATAATTTTAAATATGAACATCCATAATAAAATTATTTTTTATAAATTTAAAATTAATATAAAATAATATTTATTCAAAAAATTTAATAATTTAACAACGTTTGTATCCCTACTTACACCATTCATATAAAGTTTGAATTGTACCAGACTGCCTAAACTTATGATCAATTTTTATCTTAAGAACCTATAGTTTAAATCACGGTACCATATAGTAACATTAAAGTGCCTAATCAGATTGATAGCCCCCTTAAATAAACTAATAAAATCGAAGTATATTCCATTTAGGTTTAATGCCCAAACTATACTATAACTTTTGTGTCAAATAAATGCTTATATTTTTTGGCTTATCCGAGTGTTTAACGTTAAAAACGTTAGCACTTTATGTGCTGAGCCATTAATGACGTTAGTTTTTCCCGTTAAATAACACGTGTCATAACTTGATAATTTTAAATTTTTTTATATAAAATTAAATTAATATTTTTAAAAAAAGAAAACATAAATTTTGAAATAACCTCTAAACCCACGCCTACCGCCGCCCTTTGCCGTCGAAGAAGCTCCACCTGACCTCCTCTCCCCTGGTCACCAAAACACTTATGAAATCGTGACCGGTTGATGACCGATCGACGTTCTAAATCCTGCAAACCCTAGGATAAAAATAGCTATCCCATACAATTCTGATGGTGAATCGAAAACAACTATGGCGGCATATAACTAGGATGATGGCAAAGACTACGTCGGTAGTGGTGGTCGTGGCTGGAGAGGACGGTGACGACGGATTAAGGTTAGAATTTGAGATTTTTGGGTTGTTTTATAATATAAGATTAGAGTTTTTTATAATATAATAATATTTTTAATATTTAAAAAAAATTAAAATTACAAAGATATGACATTGTCACTTAACGAGAAAAAAATAAAGCCATGAACGGCCCAGATACCTAAAATACTAATGTTTATAACGTTATGCACCCGGATAGACAAAAAAATATATACACTTAACACAAAAGGTACAATTTAAGTATTTATTTAGGCAAGCCTTCCAATTCTTAAAGAAATATTCACATTAAACCCATTTTCTCTTCTTTTAGTTCTTGGTAATTTAATTACTTTATCCACCTGAGAATAAGTGCACACAGTGTAAGCTTTAAAGATAATAAGTAACAACCGACCACGGAAATTTAAACCAGACCACATACGTACGGACCCAAGAATGCGCGTCAAATTGTTTGTCGGCTGCTCTAGTTATAAACTCTGTCAACACTTAATCCCATCCAAATTAACAGTATATTGGTCATAGAAAGGCGAGTAAAGCAATGCATTTTGTCATAAAATATAATATTGACCCATGAATTATATACAGCATGTAAGAAGGCAAGACACATGCACAAAGCCACAAACTACCGCATTATTACAGTAAGAAAGACAAATCCTATAAAAAGACAAAAACGAAATACTTTTTACAATATATCAAACGTGGGGTTTATCAAAACCACCACTTTTTCTCAATACTGATATAATTAAGTGGGGAGAGAGAAAAAGTGGAACTAAGCTCTAATTATTTCTGTTACTGCTAAAAAATCCAATAGTTTAGTTCACTTAATTAGAGCTTAATTTCAAGAGGGGAGGGGGCGTGATATTGATTTCCTTTCAAAGTAAAAGGTTTAATGCAATATATGCTATCGAGGTTGCATGGTGGCTAAAGTCCAGTAAAGATCCAAGAGTTTGGTCCAAAGAGCTACGGATTCGGATCTTAGCTGTTCATTTTCTCCCCATACAATGTGATATTGATTCATGACCGAGCTGATTCGGTTTTTAAGTTGCTGGTTCTCTATGCTCAACCGGTTAACTTCGTCCGTGATGTTCTCCAAATGCATCCTTTTTCGCAAACGGGACCGCCTCGCTGATTCTCGGTTCGATATCGTGCGTCTTTTCTTCCTCTCGTCTGCCGAATACACCGCCCGAGTTGAACCTTCCGAACCATAGTTTGGACTGACTGGTTCATTAGGTTCAAGAGAAGATGCAGCTCCAGTCGAGCCTTCTGAACCGGAGTTTGGACTAACCGGTTCATTCGATTCCAGAAAAGATAACAACTCTTCAAGCTCTTCGCGTGTGAAGCCGGTTTCTTGAACCGGTAATTCGAACTGATCAGCTTCTTCAGACAAGAACATTGGATCAATCAGACCAAACAGAACAGGAGAACAAAAACGGTTTTGAATCAATAGTAGTAGCAAGTGAGAGAAGAGGGGAAAAGGGAAGGAAAGAAGAGGAGGGAAAGGGTATTTAAAGGGAAGGGGTGGGGTCCTTTGGCAACAAAAGATTTTGGAATTATACTTTTGAAAAATAAAAAAAGGCAAAAATAAAGTTACCATTGCAAAGCAAATGTTAAAATACTGTACAATTTCTTAATTAATTATAATTATCCTTTGGTTTAAAGTTATTGTGAGAGAAGAGAAGAGGATTAGGTTTACCTTAATCACGAAGCATCAAACCAAAAATGATAAAAAATACATTTTTGCTGGAAAAGTTATACATATGCTTATCATAGAGACAAAGAGCAGAAGTCATGTGGGATACGTCGGAGAGAAACAATATATATATATATATATATATATATATATATATATATATATATATATATATATATATATATATATATTAAAAAGTTATTTTTTCAAATAGAAAATATAAAGGTGTTCGTAGAGAGTGGTGAGAGATTATCAAACAATTGGGTTAAGTTCTGTTCAAATTTTATATATTTTACAATTAAATTAAATATGTTTATTGTTGACTACGTCAAGCTAGATGAATAATAAGTTGAATGGTAAATAAACTCGTTATCCAGCAGGGTTAGGTTTATGAGATTCTGTGGGGATGGTTGGTAACTTGAAGCAAATGAAACGGGAAATAGACATAAAATAAATTATTCATAAGAAAATATGGATTTAAAGACAACATAGGATAGGAGAACAAGAAGGTTGTAGACTTGTTTAGTTTCTTAGTTATGATATTTGATTGTGAAGGGACATTGCATGTGAGGGAAAAGACAATTGCAAACGTATATGTATTACACATTAGGTTTTTTCGTGTAATATTATTTGTAAATTATATTTTATTTATGGAAAAAAGTTTTGCAGTTTCCACCTTTATTTGCCCTGTCCATTTTCACTGATTTAAGTAGATATTAGTGTACTAAGTTTTTTTATTAATACTAAGTTAATTATATTATATGGTGTAGTTTGAGATTCAAATTTTGTTACAATTTGACTCAAAATATTTGTAGAAATATTTATAGAACGATTTAAACATTAAAAAAATTATAATGGACGCAGAAGATCTTAAATCGGAGTCCATCAATGATCCTGACTAGAGGTGTGAGATAGAGCAGTATGACATTGTCACTCATTCAATTAGTATAAAATTATTACTAAAAAAATTAGTATAAAATTATTATTTTTTGTTAGTTTTTAACTGAAAATAAAAATTTATATCAAGACGTACTTTTTGTAATATTGAATAGCTTTTATCAGGTAATTAACCCTATAAATAAATAATAATATTAGTGTTATACTAAAGAAAAAACCTTAAAATTTGTATGAGGTCTTATAGTAACAAATCCTTATAATTTTGATATTATATTAAAATTTTCTCTTTCTCCCGTAATTTTTTCTTATAAATTCTTTCATGTAAAATCTATATTTTGTATTATACAATCAATTATATTTATCGATCTCATATATCATATCATTATGTAAAAAAAAACATAAATCCATATGGTCCCGTATGATAAGAATCATTTAAGGTACTTTTTTACTCTTGTCAATGCAATGATGCAAAAGCAATCGAAAAAAGAAGTTTTGTGGAGGAATTAGAATTTGCCTTTCGTTTAGGTTAGTCGTGAGTCGTGACCTTGTACCCCCTTGAAAACTACACTGATCATTTGCTTTTCCTTTACATATATGAAATGTATGCATAAATATGCTTTAGTGGTTTAGCCGATTGCAGCAAAGATTCTCTGGTAGTTTTCTTAGTTGTTGGAAGTTGAAGCACAATTGTTTTTTGCTTAATATTTTTAGTTAACTTTAGTGGGGAAGTTCTCTTTTATTTGGCTGTTAGTCTTGATTCTATTAATTTAAGGGTAGCTACCAAGCCATTCTCTAAAGGCCATTAAACATATAGTAATTTTTATAATACTATATAGGCTATAGTGGAGGCTAACATGCATGCATACGATCGCTCATGCTGCAGGGTATAATTTCATTTGCTTTTTATTTTATGAAATTCAGCTCAACCATTAGCTACTCGTCCTTTTATTTGTAAATTTATTATATACATTTATGTCCTAATTTAACTGCTTTAATCAACTTCTATATACAGGTGGCCTTCATGTGCCCGATTTTCTTTAGGTAAGGATGCTTGAATATGATAATATGTCCTAATAAGCTTGAGTACTCTACCAAAAGTTTTAAGCTCGATATGTTTTAAAATAGTGATAATTTTGTATTAAAACTGGTATTAAGTCTTTTTTTTTCTTGTTTTTTCATAATATAGATAATAATAAAATAATGAAGGACCCAATCAGGATTTGATTAGGATACGATTGACTCAACTACAGGTATAGGAAGAGGTAGAAGGGTAGCAAAGTCCAAAAATAGCGTATATATTTGGCACATATAAAGCGTCAACATTTCCCACGATTGCAAAAATATGGCCATGCGTCCCAACAGCAAGAGGAAGAACTAACTTTGCCATATTTTGAGTATTACTTGAGGCGCAGGCAAACCTGGTGGAGCCTTTGCCCATGTGCACACTAAAGCCAGCAAGGAGCGCCCAGGCACAGTGTACCCTAAAGCTCATAAATCTTCATCATATCTCACTGCCCTTTGCTTACTTTCAGAGGCCAACACCGGTTCCCCCAAGGCCAAATATATTGTGTGGCTATCGAGAAAAGTAACCACAAGTAATATGCAATCTCATTTAATCCTACATTATGCACTTATTTGTAAAAAGTTTGAAGAAGAAAGATTCCCAACTCGAAGTTGAATTGGTTGGCCAATGTGGAAAAGAATTATCACAACAATCAAGGCCAGAAATCACTTCTGAAACCCACAATCTCGAGTCTTCCAAAACTTTTAGGTCTTAGCGCAACACTGCAGAGAAACAATTCTTATGCAAATACTAGGAGAAATTCTTCTATGTGTCCGTCTTTGTCATGGATGAGAATCTCCTTCACCTTTCATGTAAATTTGTCTGTTTTACTGGAGGAATGACCAATTGACAGAAGACTTCCAAATCCAGAATGTTGGTAATACTGTAGACACTATCCCACGTTGAGTGGGAAATACTTCTTGCAAGGGTATTTATAGTGTTCATTCTCCTCTCCTTTGTTGAGTGATAGAGAACAAGGGGCCATCTTACGTGCCGCTGTTATCGCTGATCTGATCAGCTTGTGGTAAGTGATAATATGTTGTTTATTCGATTCAAGTTTACAGAGGTAACATTATATTAGTTGTCATTTGAATTCTATAAATTAAGTCAATAACATTGAAAGATGTGATTTCCAGAAATTTATCTGGATGAAATTTTGATGTATTTGGATAGATTTTTAGCTATGTTCAGAGTAAAATAAAGAGTTGTTATATTGCATCAGTTACGGGGCTTAATTACAAATTAATAAGTTGTCCAGATTCATTTGTTTATGACAACCATTCAAACAACAAAATATCTAGAAAATCTAAATCAAAATTAGATCTGATTTTTTGCTTGGACATTTTTGTCTCTAAACTTAGCTTATAAATAGAAAAGCGTTTTCAGCTTCTCAAATCATCCAAAAACTCACAAATCCTCTCTAAAGCTTTTTAAGCTTTCTTCAATTTTCTAGTGCTAAGAAAAGAGCAGTACCAACGTTATCCACTCCAGTTTTCGGGTGTACGAATCCTCGAAGTGTCCATGTTAACCTCGGGAGACAATCTGTCTAATGCAGTGATTATATAAATCAAGGTGAATTCATTTATAAGGCAGTGGTTTCACCACGATAAGGTTCTAATTTTTTGTATTCACTAATTTTATTTTAAATTGTCCTGTCAGTGCTAACTGTGTGGTTTTTTCAGTATATATTATTTCCAACAATTTAGAAGCGAACTAAATTTACTTCAAAATTGTTGACACCCTTGAGCAGGCTTACTCCTTATCTATCTAAGCTTGATGCACTAGATGGGTCTAATTACCATAGGTGATCCCAACATATATTAATTTTCTTCGAGCATCTTGACTTAGACTACATGTTGTTGAAGCCACCACCTACTACACCGTTGACCAGTTCAGTTGCAACTGACACTATTGCGACCAGTGAGAATATTCTACCTGACGTCGTCTCTGTCGTCGCTGTTGAAAAGTTTGAGAAAGACAACAAGATAGTGCGTGGCTTCTCCTAAGTCACATGTCCAACAAGCTCTTTGACATGTTTCTCAAGGAAAGAAGTGCCAAGGTCATATGGAACATACTTGAGAAGAAGTATGATGCTAATGATGCAGGCATCAAGAAATAAGTCATTGGCGAGTGGCTCGTAACACCCTAAATCCGATTGGGCCTAAAGTGCCACATTAGGCTACTGAGGTAACCCCTGATTTTCAAAACATGTTATTTTCCTTTTCAAATAATCTGAATGGTATCATAATAGACATAAATAACAATTACAAAACACTTTATAAGATCGGAGCTCCTTGACACATAATTTAGTACAAACTTAGAATTATAAATCTGAATACATGAGAAAGGTTTTATGAATACATATCCCCATTAAAGCTACATTACAATACTCTGAAGGAGATGCTGGAAATTCTGTTGCAACGGTGCTTCACAAACTGCTCAAGCTATTGACCTGTCAACGAAAACATTCGAGGGTTGAGCTTACAAATCCCAACAGTATGATCGCTAATCTAGAGCAGCATTATGAGTTCCATAAACATAAGCATGCTAAGGACATGATATTAAGAAGTAGGTATATGCAAGATCTAGATTAAGTGCTACCTACTTAAGGCCTAACTTTTCTATCACTAAAGTAGAAGTCTCACGCTTCCCTTGATCATTCGCTCACGGGCTTCGTCGTGAGTACACCTCTAAAGGGTACTCAATCAAGTTATTAAGTATTTAATTTTTAATGTTATTTTAGTTTAAATTAATTTTTAAAATACTTTTAATTCAATTTATATTTATAATTTTATTTCAAATGTATATATTTATTACGCGAG